TTGCGAAATTAATGGCCAAGAAACGTATCGCGACTAAACCAGTAGTGCAAAGTGCATATGGTGTGGGGGAGGATCATCTAGATTCAGCCCCGCTACCATTTAGTTCAGAAAACCTAAATCTCGACGACGAAGAATGGGTCAAGGCCCTGAAATTCGACGCGATCGAGGTTAGCGAACTGCCACCTGCGCAACTGACGATCTCGCAGTTCACTGCTGGAATAATCCCTGCAGGATCTTTAATTGTTGGCGACCCATACTTGCAATACCTAGATACTTTGGAACCTGGGGAAACTCCGAGACCAGTAATTGTCGGAGGGGCGTCTACTAGTTTAAGAGCAATCTTCCCTTTGATTAACGGAACAGGACACGAAGAATGCGTGGTTGACGGTGGTTCCCAAATAGTGTCAATGGCCGAGCACATCGCGACGAGCCTAGGCATTGGTTGGGACCCAGATATTACCATTCATATGCAGAGTGCAAATGGTTCGCTCGCGAAGACTTTAGGTCTCGCAAAGAACGTCCCATTCTTATTCCAAGACGTAGTGGTCTATCTACAAGTCCATGTAATCGATAGTCCTGCATACAAAGTACTTCTAGGAAGACCGTTCGATGTTGTGACTGAAAGTCTTATAAAGAATAATTCTGACGGAGGTCAGGTCATCACTATCACTGATCCTAACACTGGTCGACGATGCACTATTCCTACTTTCACGAGAGGAACGACGTTTAGAATGACTAGACCTGTTGAGGCCAAGGGTTTTCGCAGCTCGAAGATCTGATAGACGATCAGGGAGAGCTAGCGGTACAACTCGTCAGGAACAGTGATGGAAGCGTAGAAATTGAAGCCTATATCAGCCCTGAAGGAAAAGCTAGCTTCTCGAAAGAGGGATTACGAGATGCGTTCCTCATGGCCGCCGTCGAGAACAATGAAGATATAAGAAAAGATACAGCCGCGGCGGACTTATTACACTCTTATTTTCAAGGGAAAGTCGTGCCACCTGAATCAAGTATGTTCTGTTGCGTACGCCCGCAACGCGAAGAAGAAATACAAGACCTAGATAATCTAGAGGTGCCCATTTATAATGTATGACGTACTAATTGGTCGCGCCCGACTCCGGAGACTAAAGACAAATACAAAAAGACGACTTTAGTACCAGGATTAGAACATCTAGGCGAAAGAATGAATAACAATGGCTACAAGCCAGTCTCGGTCTTAGCCACTAAGAAATATAAACCAGTTGCCTTGAAAGTTAAGCCTCTTCTCGGTGACTTACCTGATAAATTCAGGATCGTAAGGGAAATAAAAGGAGATCCGCTCGCGGATATGCCAGTATTAAATCCTCACCCTCCTGATTTTAAACCCACTGGACGTTATACACATGAACGGAAACTAAAAATCGATGAGAACCATCCAATAGGATTTCTATGGCCCGAAGAGCGAAAGCTAGTACACCACTTTATGTGTCTTCAAGAACAGGGTTTCGCCTGGGAAGACACTGAGGCAGGACATTTCCGAGAGGACTTCTTCCCGCCTATAGACATTCCTGTGGTACCTCATACGCCTTGGGTTTTGAAGAATATACCCATACCACCTGGAATCTACGACGAGGTGTGTCGAATCATCAAGTCAAAGATTGACTCGGGCGTCTATGAGCCCTCGAATTCATCCTATCGGTCTAGATGGTTTTGTGTGATAAAGAAAGACGGTAAAAGCCTGAGACTAGTACATAGTCTGGAACCCTTGAACGCAGTAACAATCGCGCACTCTGGAGTTCCCCCTGCAACGGATGAGTTATCAGAACATTTCGCTGGAAGAGCCTGTGGAGGTTGTCTAGATTTATATGTCGGATACGACGAACGCGATATAGCAGTCAGTTCCCGCGATTATACAACATTCCAAACGCCTTTTGGGTCGATGCGTCTGGTAAAACTACCAATGGGTTGGACAAATTCCGTGCCTATCTTTCATGAAGATGTAACGCATATACTCCGAGAAGAGATTCCCCATATAACTCGACCTTATATTGATGATGTGCCGGTACATGGACCTGAAACCAGGTACGAAACTGAGGACGGATCATATGAGACTATACCTGAGAACCCTGGAATTCGACGTTTCGTGTGGGAACACATGCAGAACATGAATCGAGTAGTTCAAAGGATGAAATACTGCGGAGGTACCTTCTCGGGGCCTAAGTCGTTTATTTGCGTCGACAAGATGACGGTCGTGGGACACCTATGTACGTATGAAGGACGAAAAATCAGTACGGATAGAGCAGGAGTCATCGAACGTTGGGGACCGTGTAAACACATCTCGGACGTGCGAGGTTTCCTAGGTACTTGTGGAGTCTGCAGAATGTATATCAAGGATTATGCTAAGAAAGCAGAACCACTCGTAAAGCTAACTAGACTGAATACACCGTTCGTATGGGAGCAGGATCAACAAAACGCTATGAACACCTTGAAAAAGGCCGTTCTAGATAGCCCTGCTCTGCGACCTCTAAAACTAGATGGAAAAGGTGAAATCGGGATATCTATAGATACATCCTGGAAAGCAGTCAGCTTTATAATCTATCAAATTGACGAAGAGGATCCTACCAAGCGACATTACACGCGATTTGGATCTATAACTGCTAAATGAACGAGAAGCTCGGTTCTCGCAACCTAAGAGAGAACTCTACGGCCTACTCCGCGCCCTGAAAGCGTGTCAGTACTGGTTAATTGGGGTACGCAACTTAGTAGTCGAGACAGACGCACAGTATATTAAAGGGATGTTGAATAACCCTGGGATGGGACCGAATGCGACCATAAATAGATGGATCGAGGACATTCTAATGTTTCATTTCACTCTTAGACATGTCCAAGGCGCGACATTTCCGGCTGATGGGTTATCTCGACGAGATCCACAGCCTGGAGATGAAGAGTACCCTGATCTCGGAGGAATGGACCTCGAGGATCATGGCCCCTTGAAATTCGAAGTAGCACCAGGAACTTCAACGGTTCCCAAAGATCTCGAAGATTTTAAGCATGAAATAGATACTAGAGGAGGATATTTACTCGCGACTAATATCACAGATCTCGAGAAAGAACTAGGAGAAGCTAGAAGACAAGAACAAGACTATAGAGACCTGTATTTAGCTCAAGAAGTTAGGAACAAAAATATATGCCAATTCATGAACAATACTCCTCTCATTCCTGACCTCGAAGACAGATTCGATCAAGAAAGCTCTATCGAATACCCAGAGGATCATAGAATGAGTAATGGGAAAGCGCAAGACAAGCGTCTACCCTTGGTACGGACTTGGTTGAAGAACCCTAGATTCCATCCGGAGGACTTTAATGAGAAGCAGTACACCAATTTTAAACAGTACTGTCGTAACTTCTTCCTGGATAAGGAAGGCAGGCTCTATAGACGCAATATAGAAGGCTTTCATCGACTTGTCGTCGATAAAGAACACCGTATGTATATGATGAAAGCTAGTCACGACTCGCTAGGTCATAGAGGGTTCTTCGCGACAAAGTCACTCCTAGAACAGAGATTTTGGTGGCCGGAGTTAGATCGAGATGTGAGCTGGTATGTCAAGACGTGTCATATGTGCCAAGTCCATCAGAAAACCATGCTAAGAATCCCTCCTACTCGCACCACAACTCCGTCTCTGTTTCAGAAAGTACATTGTGATACCATGATTATGCCAATTCCTTCAAACAAGTGCCGGTATATTGTTCATGTCTGAGATTCTCCTTCGTCGTGGCCTGAAGGTAGAGCACTACCTCTAGAAAATGCGAAGACCATCGCGGCGTGGTTCTTTGAAGATATCGTATGCCGCTGGGGGTGTCCTGACGAGATTGTAACAGATAACGGAGGTCCTTGGGTCACTGTATTGCAATGGCTCGAAGATAAATACGGTATTACTGGAATAAAGATCTCGCCTTACAACTCCCAAGCTAATGGCAAAATCGAGAGGCCACATTGGGATATTCGTCAAGCCTTGTATAAAGCTACAGATGGGAATCCTAAGAAATGGTTTTATTTCTTCCCTCATGTATTATGGGCGGATCGCATCACTATCAGAAAAGGTACAGGCTGTTCGCCTTACTTCATGGTTTTGGGAGCGCATCCCATCTTGCCACTAGATATAGTCGAAGCTACCTGGTTGGTAAAACCGCCTAGTGGAATCTTAAAAACAGAAGAGCTCATTGGTTTAAGGGTGCAGGCCCTGGCAAAACATATCCAACATGTACAGGACATGCGAGAACGTGTTAGCCAAACCAAACTAGAAAATGTTCTTCGATACGAGAGAAACCATAAGGCTACCATTGTCGATTATGACTTTAAACCAGGTCGTCTGGTTCTAATAAGAAATACACGTGTAGAAGACAGTTTGAATAATAAACTGGACGCTAGATATCTAGGGCCAATGATTGTAATACGAAGAACTAAAGGGGGCTCGTATCTCCTCTCCGAGATGGATGGATCTTTAGTTGGGGGCAAGATCGCGCAATTTAGAGTGATTCCCTACAATGCGAGATATAGAATCGATCTTCCTGAGAATATTCACGACTTAATAGACGTTAGCCCTGAGACACTAGGAGACTTGGTTAACGACGAGGAGTCTGAAGAAACGGAGTATGAATATCGCGACTTAAAACAGCGCAAGGAGTTATACGGTATTGACCATGTCAAGTTATCATTAGACAACGCCGAGCCGTCAGATACTGACTCAGAAGATAAGGAATACTCTGAGTTTAGAAACTCCGACGAGGAAAGCGATCTCGAAGACGAGCTTCCCCTCCCAAGTCGACTTAGAAGTTCGGGTCTGGCTTGAGAAACAACATAACTCCCTTATAATTGAACAGACTTGTAACGACAGAATATGCTAAGTAGATCAAACGGGATACTAAGCAAGTTGGTATAAGCCTTGAGAAGCGATAAACTAGGATAAAGAACTGTATAAGGATATAAAAGAATGACTAGAAGTTAGTTACTTAAAGGGGACCATCTACTCAGAGCGATATCCTGTGGCAGTCGTTGAGAGACAGTCAGAGACGTCGTTGTCAGTACAATGCTCACAAGCATCGTCCTTGGCAGCGGCCCGCCTCTCGAGTGCCTTGATAACTTGGCCATGGTGATTGACGACAAATTGACAATACTGAATTAGATACTCGATGCGATGGACGGTCGCGATAATGTCGTTGCGAAGGTCTGCCTCCCGCGAACGAAGAACAGTCTCGCTGGGATTGACAGAGCCTCCCTCGGCGATCAGTTTAGCGGCGATTGCCAGAGTTTCTTGAGTACTCTCGTTGTTGAGAGCTAACTCGGCCGCTAGGATTTACGAAAGTAAGTTTGGCACTTAGAAGTGTTAGAATATACAGTTAGAATATACACACCTGCCATTGAATACGCAGAATCATTAAAAGCAAAGTCATTGGAGGCCCTAGGACGCTTGCGAGCTTGAGTAGCAGCATCATGAGCAGCTGCCTTCGCTACGACAGCCTCTGCACGGCGGTAATCCTTGGAAGTTAAGTCCATACCGGGTACCTCAGCATAAGGAAGGAAAATTACCTCCGCACGCTTGGGTTGTTGATGTTTCTAACTCAAAACCATTAAATAAGAATAGGACTTCGAGACGAGGAGATGAAACTCACCGCGTCCTCTTTGACTTTGTTCTTCTTGAACTTAGGAAGCACCTTGCGCCCTTCGATGATGTTGCCCGAGCTGGGATCCTTGTTGACCATGATCTCGACCTCGTCGTCAATGGACATCTGCTGAAGGCGAGCAATGACTTCATCAGCAGTGCACGCGATGGCAGCTAGAAAAGAGATAGATACCGTATCAGTGTCCAGGATGGTGCAGGGAGTATCGGCATTACCCATCACAGTATCCTCCTCGATTGCAACTAGAGCAGGAGGTTCGTCATCTGAGGAGTCCTCAACGATGGCCTTCGACTTGGGCGGTTTCCTTCCCTTCTTAGCGGTCTAGAACATGAAAATTGATTGAATACTGGTGATCTCGACGATAGGTAGCAAGTCCACATACCGTGGCCTTGGCCTTCCCTTTCATAGATAAAGGTTTTGCTGATGAACCATCAGCTGCAGATGAAGCAGCAGCTTGCCCAGTAGCAGCGTTCGCCTTAGCCTTGGCTGCCAGTACAGGGTTAGACAGTTGAGCTCGACACTCATGATCTGCGTGAATTTGCCCAGTAAAAGCGCGAACGATATGATAATCTCCGAATGGTTGAGTGCCGAGGTGAGCCTTCTGAAGGCGCTCGAAGACTTGCTTGAGATGGAACAGCAAGTCCTCCAGCCCCTTGTTGCCGAAGACGTGGCCAGGAGACCATGTAATCTCGACCTATAATACCATTGAGGTCACTCCGAGATCGCATGCGAATGTATTAGAGAAAAGACTGACACCGAAACCAAACAGTTTCTTGCATTGCTCGAGCTGCTTGCCGACGTCGACACCGAGTTCGAAGAGCTGGTCGCAGAAACGCATGGCATTGTTGGCTTTGGCAACGAGAGCGGCGAGATCGACGGGAATTTCGGAGCTGGCGGACATGGTGAATGCGAGTAATAAGTGTGTAGACCAGAGTGTAAAGAGCGTGGAGTGTTCTAAGTCGTCGAGGCGAGTTGGAACGATTTCTACTTCAACGAGGACGTTGATTTTTATAGTATGGGGGAGGGGTTGACACGGAACTCCGAGATTAGAGAAATTTTTGTGGAATTCACATTCCTAGAAAATATATATGGAGCATACATGTGTTTAACTACCTAGCCATACAAATAAAGCCTCGAAGACTCCTAAAATACAGAAATAAGAGCCGGCTGAACTTAGAAGAGATCGAGCGATCACTTTTGATTTAACTTGGTAACTACCGAGATCAGGCGCGGAGTGTCCGGTGACTTAAAATAACCCAAGTCTAAAAATAAGGCAAACGGTAAATAGAACTAAGTCATCGAGGCAACCTAAGAAGGCACCTAGGGGTGGTTAAATTCTTAAAAAGATACCTTACACTCTTAGAAGATTGCACAGAAGAGGACAAGATGAAATATAATTATTCATTTAAAGGCCAAGGTGACCGGCTGGTTAGACATATATAATTCTGCCCGAAGGCGCACTGCACAGACAATGAATACAGAAAAGAAAAAGCCCAGAGGCACAAGAAAACCAGGCGGAACCCAAGAGAAAGACCAAGGCCTGAGTAGATCTCGACTGAGCAAGAAGGCTCGAGATACACGGATCGAGATCATACTCAGACCTCTGCAGTCCAAGTCTCCGTCGGCGTCCATTTCGCCACCACCCCCCTCTTCGCGACGAAGAGCTTCATCTCGCTTTGGGGAAGATGCATCGTCTGCCCAAAATAACAGAAGTCAGTAAAAGAAAGAAGAGAAGAAATGAGAACAGGATAAAACTAACAACTCAACTGAAAACAAAGAAGGACCAGTTTGGTCCTCATTCTCTGGAGTCATCGAGACTTCCACTTCTTGAGCAGAAAACCCGTCGAGGAGTCCGTTGACGGCTGATACGTCAGTAACAAGGGACTCCTCGGCCACGACACGACCTTCATACTCAACGGTGTCCCGGATAACGGCATCGATGTCCTTGCAAGTGTCGCAAAGAAGCTCGGACAGATGGCCAGCGGTCTCGCAGGCACTATCAAAGGCCTTGATCCAAGTACTCGGCCTGTCCCGAGGAGTCGGCGAAGATCTAGAGGTTGTGATAAGAAAAACAATCAGCGTAAATAAAGGAAATAGTGAAGGAGGTACTTACTGTCAGGCGTCCTCTCCGCGAATGGGTGTATCGAGACGCGTGCTTGGTACCGCTCTTGAGGACTAGCCTTGAACGAACAAACCACCTTCTTTCCCCTTTGACAGTTCCCACAAGGAACACCCCAGCCCATGAATTCACAGGGCTTAGACTGGCTGCCCACGGCACAAAGTGAGCAGGGAACCTTGGGCTAAGAAAACAGAAAAGACTATAAATGAAAAGAGTAACAAGAGATAGGAAACGGATTTACATCCATGGTCGCGGTAGCCAGCCAACGAACTTCATCAGCGTCTACTGGCCACATGGTGACCGGGTCGAAGGCAATATTTCGCAGCTGAAGAGGGTTCGTCAATAAAAACAACAACGGATAACCAAGAAAGACTTACAAGGCACCTGGGCGGCAGCTTGTCGACCGAGCTGTGCCATATGCTGTTTCGTCATCTTCCTCGGGAGCTCTGGGCTCTCGTCGCGAACATTTGAAGTCTCAACATGAGACTCCGCGGCGGCAATCGCAGCCTCGCGCTTCCTCTTCTCTCCACGAGTACAAATAACTTGTTCCTCGACTACACCAACAGGCAAGTCAACGGACGGAGGAACAGCTAGACAGGAAGATAAAAACAGAAGTTAACATTGAAAGAATGAAAGACAAAAAGAATATCATGCACCAGCAACAGAGTGACGATTGGGACCAGGTTTTGTATGCTTGGAAGGACTTCCCTGCGAAGCAGGGGGACGAAAAGGTTTCGCAATGACTACCGACTCCTCGTCAAGAGAGATACCGGCATCGTCATCATCATCCATATCCTCGGGCATGGAAGTTGGACCTGCCATCTGGCCTTTAGTGAACTTTTGTGGTTTCTTGATGGAAACCATGCCTTTCTTTGACTTGGGCTAAATCAAGGTCAGATCTAGGCGACATGGAAAGAACTTAGAAAAATAAGTACTTGCCTGAGTCTTGCTTTTGCCCTTTGAAGAGGAACCAGATGGGGCTGGAACCGTTTGAGACAATCACGGCATGAATTTTGGCACTGGCTCGTTGACAGAGAAACGGATGGCCTAGTCAGGGCGAGGAAATGAAAGTTAGTCATAAAAGAAGATAAAATGAAGAGAAGAAACGCACGTAGGGCACCTCATGAGGAGTCAACGACAACTCATCCCACCGCTCATCATACATCTCCTTGGAAATCTCGATGGCAACCAAAGAAAGCGTGTAGGCCAGGTTGAGGGCGATGTTAGCGACCGATTTCACAAACAAGATCAAACAACTAAGCATGACTCGCACTTCGGTCAGGCGCTTTGTGTTGTCCGCAGGTTTGCGTTAAGGGAGCTATCACTTAGTTGAGCGAGAGTGAGTTCAGACTAAGTTATTGGGTGAATAAACTTTAGTTCGAGACTGAGGTTTAAGACCTGCAGTCAAGCTACTTAAATACAGTTTGGGTCGTGCTAAATATACTACAAGTGTCTGCAACGGTGCATTAAACATACTAAACCCGCATGGTAGGATGCGATCAAGTCCGGAAAGTTAGCATAGCGGGATTACAAGAGAGTCGATAAGATAAGATAAAGCGTGAAATCGTAATATTACCCCCCTGTCAAGGCAGTCGTCCTGACTGTGATGTGACCTGGTTCTGGAAGGTGGGCTCCTACGAGAGAGGGTGCATTTGGTTTTACCAGGTATTCTTGAATTGCCTGTACCAATGGGTGGTCGGTTTCCGACTCGGTTACAGATTCGTGTTCGGACCAGGAATCTGATTCGTCTTCATTTTCCCACCATTCCGTGGGAGGGCGAGTAATGAATGAGACTTGTTCGAAGTCTTCAATCGCCTCCCTTGCATTGTCGAGTTCCCGTTCGTCTACCCAGGAATTTTCTTCTCTCGGATAACCTTTCCATTTGATGAGGTATTCTGTCTTTGTGTGTCATCTCCTCCCCTTGCCAACTGTTCGCTCTCTTCAGTCCACGATTTCTTCTACTTCATATTGCTCTTGACCATCTACGAGATCTGGAGGAGGTGCGATAGGCTGTATTTGGATTGGGAACTCTGGCGGATGATAAGGGGTAAGGAGGTATTCGTTGAAACGATCATGGATTTTCCAGGCGGGGGGAAGATGTAGTTTGTATGCAGAAGTGCCATGTTTGGATATTATTTCAAATGGTCCGACTCGTTTGTCGCCCAGCTTCTTCATTGGTCGAGGAAGGTGTAGGTTCGTGGAGTCCAACCATACCTTGTCTCCTGGTTGGTATTCCACTGCCGGTCGCTGATGTTTGTTGTATTGCCGCTTCATGGTTTCTGCCGCTTTTTCTAACGCTTTGGCGGTCTGCTCGTGGACCTTTTGTATATCCGCTACGAATTCTCTGGCCACTGGGTTGGTCCCTTCCTTTAACGTGAGTGGGGCGAGATGCGGTTTCTGTCCGTGGTTTATTTCAAACGGGGAGTAACCCGTCGCGGAGTGCTTTCGGTTGTTGTGTTGGAAAGCCGCGAGCGGTAGCCATTCGCTCCAATCATTTTGTTGATGATTGATAAAGATACGGAGGTACTTTTCGATCTCTTGATTGGCCCTCTCCGTTTGCCCATCAGTTTGTGGGTGATACGCTGTGGATGGATTGCCTTGAATATGCAGCATTTCATAAAGTTCTTTCATAAATTTGGACACGAATTGGGGTCCCCTGTCTGAGATTACCTTTTGAGGCATTCCATGTTTGGCCCAAACATGATCTCTAAGGATTTTGGCCCATCCCGCCGAGGTTAGTTCAGTGGAGCATGGTACGGGGATGACTTCCTTGGAGAATCAATCCACGATCATGAGAATAGCGTTGTACCCATTTGAGTCGGGTAGTTTGCTGATCATGTCTATGGTGATGTGCTCTCATGGTTGTGTGGGTACAGCGTGTGGATGTAGAGGCGCTCGTTTCCTTTGAGTGCTTGTTTTGGTTCTTTGACAGGCTTCACAACCTTTCACATACCGTTCCACGTCGTTTTTGAGTTTCGGCCACCAATACTCTCTTTGTACAAGCTCTTTGGTTTTTTCAATTCCGGGGTGTCCAGTGGTAATGTGGTCATGATGGATGGCGATCAATTCCCCTCGTAGCTTGGCGTCTTGAGGGACATACAGCTGTCCATCATAATGCATTAGCCCATCTTTTAGAACTATTCCCCGGGGATGATGAATGGATGCTTCGATCCCCTTGTCCCATCTGGTATTGTCCCTTAGCGCCGTTCGTATGCGTTTGTGAATTTCCTCCTCCCCTGGCATGATCAAGGCTCAGAACATCTCCGGCTTGAGTACTATTACCTCTTTATTGTCCTCTCCCCCTTGGTCGTGGTCTGCCCTTCTGGATAGTAGGTCTGCCTTCTTGTTGGCTGTTCCCGGTTTATGATGTAGCGTGAAGTGGTACTCCGCCAACTCGGTTACCCATCGTGCTTGCCTTCGGTTGAGCTTTTGGGGTTTGCGGAAGTACTGCAGGTTTTGATGATCTGTCCAGATCTCAAATTCCTGATAAGCGCCCATTAGATAATGTCTCCAGTCCTCAAGGGCCAGCATGATTGCCAGAAGCTCTTTGTCGTAGATTTCATAGTTCCGTTCTGTGACCGTTAAGGCTTTGGATAGGAATGCCACCGGTCTCCACTTTCCTTCTTGTTCTTGTGATAGAACCACTCCTATTGCTCCTTCACTTGTGTCTGCTTCCACATGATATTTTCCCATTCGTGTGGGTATTGCTAGTACCACTTCCTCTGCTAGCTTCCTTTTGATTTCTTGGAACGCACTTTCCTGAGCTGTTCCCCATGTCCATT